TCAAATTGAATTATTAAAGATTTTGGCATTTCAAACTAATTGTACTATGATCTTTAATTACTTTTCATGTATGCTGCTGGTTTATTACAATTGAAATGATACATATACACTACAGGAATTATAATACATTATGAGAATTGAAATGATATATACGTATTACAGCAATTACAGCACCAGTGACCCCTAAAATGGGTCACAACGAGGTCACAAAATTAGTGACCAAATTGTGATCACGCACATAATTAGGATAATAAGCTTAATAGGGTCACTAATTAGTGATTGACTAGTGACAGAAAAATTGTGATAACTGATTACTTACCGTATTCGCGGTCACTAAATGTGTATTTAATTCTGTTAATAAAAAGGGTCACTAAAAAATCAGTGACTAAAATTATTCAATTATAAATTAGTGACCACATGTTTCAATTACTAATTAGTGACCAGCAATATTCGGTCACTGATTAGCGACGGAAGACTATGATTACTATTTAGTGATCGAAGTGCTGGTGATCACTAATTAGTGACTGATTTTTTCAATCACTGATTAGTGATCGCCTTGGTCACAAAATTGATTAGTGATGAAGATTTTTCTGATCAACCATATCAGTCACAAATGAGATCACTGATTCATTCAATGACCGCTCCCTTTTGAATTTATTGATCGATGATGCAATCACCAAATTCATTTTTTCTAGTAGTGATAGCTAATTACCCTCACACTCGAAACTATTGTCAACTTCATTTGATCTATCTATCTAGATTTTTATTTATGCTATTCTCTTCTCTTGCCTGTTTTATCTTTGTTCTACATTGCTTAAGACTATTCAAATTTGTGCAACCCTAACAAGACTATCTTTGGCAAATTCTGCCTCTGTTTCTTATGTCTCTCTACCCAGTTGGTTTCTTTTCATTATCATTATTATTGTAGTGACGCTTTTGCTTGTTTGTTCCCACTATTTCTATGCTTCCTTACTACTTTTCAAGAACATGATCAACTTAAATGGACTATTCGATTGAGCTCTGTGGTTCAACAGTGGCAAAATATAATTTTTATCAAGAAGATGAATACTAGTTGTCTAATCTAGCATTAGGATTAGGAATAGGACTAGGGTTGTAATATTTATAAAATTTGTCCCATAAAGTTTTGGCGCCTCTCATATTGGTCCCCAAACCCTGACTAATTACATATCTACCCTAATAGCTTCTAATTTATTTAAACAACTTTAATTTTGCAAATTGGAGCATGGGTTTTATTATTTATTATAGAAGTGAGTTTTGTAAAAATAAAAAGAGTTAACTTCACTAAACCTCTTTAAATTATTCTTAAAAAATTACTTAATCTCATAAACTATTAAAACATTATTTACCCTCTTAACTTTAATGGTCAACGTTTAAGTTGACAGTCAGAGTATACGACACATTGATATGACAGATATATCCCTGACATAAGTAAGAAATTACATTTTTAGTGCTAATTTACCCCTATATACTTTTATTGAAATTATGAAAAGAGTAAACTTTACTAAACATTCTTAAACGATTATTGAAAAATTGCTTAAGCCCCCAAACTATTAAAACATCATTTTTTGTATTGATTTTACCCCTATACTTTTTTCAAAATTGTGAAAACTCTACTATAGGTATCACTTTGCTTTTGTCATCCAAAATGTGTAAATAAGTATCACTAATTTCTAGCCATTTTTGACATATTTCTGGTTCAAGCCACTCCAAATAGTTGCATCCATCTCTATCTTTTTTACAATAAAATCATAATATTTGATAAAAATAAATAAATAAATAATTAAAAATAAGAAATTACTTATAGTCCAATTGCTACATCTAACAAATTTTTGAATCAAATTTAATTTCAAATAAGATGTTCATATTGGTGCAAGTTTACTTTAATTGCAATACAATCAAGAAAAATTTTTAACGTAATATCTCAATCGTTGACAAAAATTGAAAATATCTTGCAAATTTGAATGAGAACTTCTTGACATTTTTCTATTTTTTTCCAATTTTAATAATATAATCTTAAGTAAAAAATTGGGATAAAAAATACCTAAAAAATTGAAAAATTATTGAGATATAAGAAAAAAATAAGAGAAAGAAATAAATGAGAACGATTGAGTGAGAAATGGATAAAAAAAAATTACAATTGTTTACAAGGAGTTGAAAGTTATTTTAGTTTAAAAATTCTAATAATTTAAAACTTGTCAACCGTGTCTTATCGTGGTTGATGTTAGACATTTTCAAATGACTATTACTAATGGCTAATTAATAGTCAAAAGGATAAATAAAGTTTTAATAATTTAGATATTTAAGTAATTTTTTAGAAATTATTTAAAGAAATTTAGTAAAGTTAACGCAAACAAAAATGTAAAAGCGGGTTTTGACTCTCACAAGCCCGGGAGTTAAGCATAAGGTGAGGCCGGATCATTGGTTTACTAAAAGCGCAATGTGTCAGCTTTATAGGCATACGATTGGACAATAAGGCCTTATGACAAATGATCCCGACTCTTGATAATGTCATTTGCGATCAATTTTGTCATCAACTCAAAAATGGACGACTGATTTGTGAGTTTAGCTATTGATGTGAGTAGTTTGTCTGCCCTTGGAATGAATGGTGGTCATCTTATTTTATAAAATATCTTTGTCTATTTTTTATTTTTAAGTAATAGTAATGCAGATTAATTAGATAAAAATCAAACGATTGAGTTTACAACTATTTGAGGCTTATCCTGGTGGGGTTGGGGTGGTCTTTGCTTCGTGCTTGTCTCCCACGTGCTGGCTGCATCCCCACCACTTTACTCCTTTTTCTAACATGGCTTCTATGGGCCTTCAGATCTTGGTGGCAGGATGGGCCCCAGCCTTCGACTTAGAGCCAGTCATTGGTTTTGAAAAAGAAAGCTACCCCTATCACGCGTATCACGGTAATTACATTATTTCTTGAAGCAATGTTTGTTTTGGCATTTCGTAGATGTAATTTTGGCATTTCTTAATGCATGATTAACCAAATCACTCAATCTTGTAATAGCTTTTTCATTTTTGACAAGTTGTCCGGATTTAAGTGAAATGATCCCCATTTTGAATTTGTTTTCAACTTTATTTAGGGCTGTCAGTGGGTTAGATTTTAATTCGAATCCGATCCGTAAAAAATCCGAATCTGAATATTTTAATAATATTTTTTTATTTAATTAATAATTATATAATTAATAAATATTTTTATATATAATGTAATATATATGACATTATAATTAATAATATATTAATTTATATTTGTGAAACATTTTATTTAATAGAATAATATATATTTTTTCTAAACTATTCTATAATATTTTTTTACTTTTCCTAATTTTAATTTTTTTAGTAGATATTATATTTAATAATTAATTACTTTTAAAATTTCATGAAACGCTTGAATAAGTTGATTATAAAATTTTCTAAATTCTAACTATAATATAATAAAACTTAATAATTTTATAAAGTATTGGAATTCTATCATTACTTTTGTAATATATTATATAACAAAATTTTTTTTAAACATTCATAAATAAAAAATTATTTTTGAAATTTAGTTATATTTTAATAAAAGTAAAATAATTAAATATAAATCTTACATGAATTTTTATCATTCATAAATAATAATTTATTTAATTTTACGTATCTTTTACTTATTGATTATTTGATTTTAATTATTATTAATAGTTATTCGGATCGGATTTTTTATTCAGATTTCGGATTTTTATCGAATTCGGATTCGATAATAACAAGTAGAAAATCCTATAAGATTTCGGGTCGGATTCGGATATATACATTGATAATCGGATTCAAATTCGGATCATCTTGATTTGAATCGAATATGACCCGTTTACATACCTAACTTTACTCATCAATTAAAATTTTAAAATCTATATGTCCCAATCAATTTATTAGTAAATTTTTAAGATAAATTTATGCATGCCAAAAGAAAATATGAGCTGCGTCTTTAAAAAGTTAATTAACGTATTTAGCTTTTTCATTGCAAACAATCAATGGAGTCGCTCGTCCAATTCTACACCTCAGCTTGTGTCCAAGAAGCTAAGACCACGAGTGAGAGATGGACCCAACATCATAGAAATCTTTCTTTCCATCTAAAAAGGGAGATTGGTGTCTGAATCCTCCCATGCCTTCGGTTGTGTTGCGCACTGAGGGGCACTAATGCGAACCAGTTGAATTCTTCCACTCCCTGCGCTAGCTTCCTGTACCCCCAATTAGATTTATTGAATTAATAATTCTACTATCTTACATTTTGAACATACGTAGGCAATTGATTACACATGTATCAGAATTACCTACATTGGGTATTCTTGTCCAAATATATATATATTTTTTGAAAAAAAAACAGGGTACACAAAAAGTTGGCAATCTTTGTACCATAACATGGTGAAAGGGACGCATAGAAGCATTATACAAGATGATTAAAAGAATGCAGCTACGGGTTGACAGAAATATATAAATCTAAAAGAGAAAAAGGAAAGAAGGAATAATAAAGGCAAACAGTGGAAGATACATAGAGTTATATTGGATTTTAGGTTCTACTTCAATGAAAGTATTCGGTCTTTGTATAAAAATATTTTTTTTACAAAAAAAGGGAAAAAAAATTGTATTCAACAAATAGAAATTATGAAGGGACGCTTCTTCTCTGGGATAGCACCCATCGTTCAAACAACCAAGGGCCCCATTTTCCACTGTCATGAACCCCCACGCCATTGAACTTGTAAAGCCATAATAATGATGGGGATTCGAATGAAATGCCAACAAAAATAGGCATCCCTTTCGTCGTCAAGCGTGTGTCAAGACCACGTGAAATTCTTGTTAAACAGAAATCACACTACAGTTTTTTAGTACTGATTGATTCCTCCTTTGAGGGCTTCAAATTCATCGTGTCACTTGCCCAAATCATTTCACTCTCTTTCCCACTGTGGCAGAAAACGCAGCAATTGAATCAAGTAAGAGGCATGGATGAACTTATCTCTTCTTCACCCCAAAATATTCAAGAACGCCTCCAATTCATGATTCAAAGCCAAAGCCAGTGGTGGGTCTATGCCATCTACTGGCAAGCTACAAAAGACAGCAACAATGGGTTTCTTCTCTCCCTGTGTGATGGCCATTTTCGAGGCACCAGAGAAATGGTGTCTAAACTGGCAAGCAATGGGCATGACCAACAAAAGTCCGGGTTTGATATGGGAAAAAGGAAAGTGGCGAGAGGGATTCAAGCACTTTTTGGGGATAACTCTGACATTGATCGTCTTGTTGAAGGGGACGTCACTGATCCTGAATGGTTCTACATGGTGTCTGTGACCAAAACGTTTGTAGCCGGAGACGACATACTTGGGCGAACTTTCAGTTCGGGTGCTTATGTTTGGCTAACGGGCGAGCACGAGCTCAAGTACTACGAGTGCGAGAGAGCTAAAGAAGCTTATTCTCACGGAATTCAGACTTTAGTTTGTATTCCTACTTCAAATGGTGTGGTTGAACTGGGTTCGTCGGAAATTATTAAAGAAGACTGGGGACTAATGCAACTGGCCAAGTCTCTTTTGGGCTCACATGTCGAAGCCAGCAATTTGGCGCCGAAGCATCCTGCTGCAGATCAAATTCACTTCCTGGGTGTTTCGGGATCAATTGGAGCAAATCATTTTCGGCCTACTGGGTATGAAGACTCCAAGCGAAAATCATCGTCAGACTCGGGACCTAATTCGGATTTTGAAGGCTCAATGTTCTTGGAATCAGCAAGGAGCATTCGAGGAAAGAGAGGAAGGAAGCCTGCGGCGATTAGTAGCGGACCAGAAGCAACACAGGCAAACCACGTGGAGGCGGAGAGGCAGCGGAGGGAGAAGCTCAACCATAGATTCTACGCGCTTCGCAGCGTGGTCCCTAACGTATCAAGGATGGATAAAGCATCTTTACTCTCAGATGCTGTCACTTACATAAAAGAGCTGCGAGCGAAAATAGAGAAATTGGAGGCCAAACTGAGAGCGAAATCAAAAGAAGTAGCCAAGATATCCATGGCGAGCAGGAGCATTGGGCATGGAGAGCTGTACCCTGACAACCAAAGCCCGTCAATTAGCTTGGATTATGTTCCTGCGTTAAGGATGTCATCTTCGTCTAACTGCTATGGGTTGGGCATGAACCCATCAGAGGACGTAGACGTTAAGATTATAGGGTCGGAAGCTTTGATTAGAGTGCACTGTCAGGACGTCAACTGCCCGCCTGCGAGACTCATGGATGCTCTCAGGGACCTTGATTTTTCTATCCATCACGCCAGCTTCTCCAAGGTCAAGGAGCTTATGCTTCAAGACGTGGTGGTTAAAGTTCCCGATGGGTGCACAAGCGAGGGCTTGAGATCTGCTGTTCTTAGAAGGCTTCAGTTTTAAAAAAATTTCCACAGTTGTCCACCAAAGCCTCCCTCCCTCAACCTTCTTGTATTTCTTCTTCTCCTTTATATCTTCTAGACTTGTATTCTTATGCACTAGTATGGTTACTGTTATCTCACGGTATGGAAAACTTTTTAGTTACTTTCGGACAACGGACCAAGTCATCCATCCAGTGCAATTACAAACCTCAACCACTAGAGTTCGTACTCATTTAGTCTTCTCGCAAGGTAAGATGGTTATCAAAAATGCACGTAACAACAAACAACTTTATCTAAAATAATATAACACTCCTAACCATTGCTCTCCTTTACCTTAAACTTAGACTTAGACCTCCAAATATATCCCAAAAAAAAAATAAATTCAACTTCACTTCCCTTGAAATTAGGTACGTCCAAAGGAGACTAATGCTAGAGCCCCATCACGATCATTTAACCCTTTCTTAATCTTGTTTTACTCTCGGATTTAACACAGCTTTAAGATAAACTGTGATTCAGGTTTTTAGTCAATAGTCAAACTTACTGTATTTATTTTATAGTACCTATAACCCGATTTCCAATTAAAATCAAATGGTGAGCGCAAATGTAGTCCTCAAGGTAGATACAACTGCAATCATCATCAAATTTTTTTTTTTGGTGTTTCCTATTGGCTCTGGTCATTTCAGGGCTTTCCTTTGGATTATGCACCTTGCTGATTTATGTATAGTTGCTTGCATAAGCTGGCCTTTAACTCTACTTAATTAGATTTGGTACTCGTTTCTGGTTCTGGATATGCTGGGGCGGATCATGTTTGTGTGGGGCAACCCGTAGTTAGTTTGTGTTTTATGGTCACAGGGTGTTGGCACAATATATATATATATATATATATGTATATGTATATATGTACACACACTCTCCTTCGAGAATTTGTATTGCTCTATTATGTTGATGATACTCGTATCATCATCTTGTTGCTTTTGGGGGTTAGAGTGGAGAATCTCTTGGGTTTTGAGTTTCACCGCAAAGCCGAATTTGATGTCAGCTCTTAATTTGGGCATTTTTGCCATGGGAATTGGAATCCGTGAATATTGCTCATCAAGTCAGGTGCCTTCTTTTTTCTCTTTTTCCACTTGCATATTTATCTATGCTTTTTTTTTTTGGAAATATCTCGTGTTTTGCTGAGGCGTGGATAGTTTTGTTGCATTTGAACCCCGTTATGCCTTGAGTTTAGGAGGTGACTTCTTGGGGTTTGTGTTTAGTTTGGTATTGATTAGAATGAGTTTTTGGAAGTGTAATTTTGTTGATTAAGAACATGATTGGAGGCCTTGTCCATCGAGATGGATTGGCATGGGTACGAAAAAGCAGTTCAAAATTCACATCCTTCTAGGTCCATGTCCGATTATTTCAATTTCAATCATTCTCGGTAAAAGTTTAAAAAATGTGGTAAAGAAAAAAAAAAAACTTTTCCAAATGCCCATGTAGGTCTATTCTGGTGTGTACGTCAACTCGTAACTATAGAAAAAATATTTTTAATAGTTAAAGTCCTGATAATTACGATGGATGCATCAGTCCAAAGTCAAATCCGATATGCAATCACCGACCGGATATGATAATTATGATGGATGGATGGGCCCTTGCATTTTCAAACCATATAATCCTTATGAAAGGAAAACTTTATTCAATATAATTTGTTACAAGACTCTAAATAAAATTCGTTAATTTGTAATATAACATACAAGCAACACCAGATTTGAATACATGACAATTAAATATGTGATAAATATGGCAACTATGCATGATAAATATTTTATTTGTTAACATGCTCCTCGCCAAATAGAGGTGCTATTTGCAACTCCAATCATAATAATCCTGAGTTCTTCAAACTATTTGTAGGAAGAGATTTAACTAGAAGAGTAGTAAGTTGAGCTTTGGATGAAACATTAATGACTTTAAGAGGTGCGCTTGTGCATAAATTAAGATAATTTGTTGACTGAGAAGGCCTAGTTTGACCTTGCGAGTGAGAGATATTGAAGAACTCCATCCATTTGTCTGTACAAGGTGGCTTCCTTAAGAGGTGCGCCATCAACAAGTAAAAGAGAAGTCGTAGATAAAGGTGCTCAGATTGATTTTGCCCCTGCTATATCAAAGCGTTCCAAATGTGTCGCATGTATTTTTGCTCACATAAAAAATAGTTAGTAGTAGTTTGAATGCACTCCACATCCAAGAATCATCTGTATAGAATTGAGAGCAATTATAGGCAATATAGAAAACCAAACACACAACGATAATCTAGATAACCAAACTCAATTCCGAAAACAGTAATAGGGTAAAAACTGAATGACATACTCAATTGAAAAGGCCAAATGTTTCAATTGTAAAATTTCAGAAAAATCCTATGTATTCCTTCTAATGGAACCCTAAACCACAATTAGAAATTCCTCCAATAGTTGACAATGATGTTGGATATTCTTGGAGTGGCTATGAAGATGAAATCTTTCGAACACTCAATGATATGATTTTCCGATTATCTAGGGTTAAATAGGTTCACCTTCTTCAACTCTCTACTGAATAGGACCTCTGAGAATTCTCTCCCAAGAGGCTAAAATTTTTTGTAAGGTTTTCCAAGATTTTGGAATTATTTCTTGTTTTCTAAAGTTGTAGCGAAACATCTCTCCTTTTATAGATGAAGGAGTCTTGGAGAGTTGAGGCTTTGCAAAGGCCAAAAAAGCTCTAAGGGATAAAAGTTATCTACTGAAAAAGTCCCAAATGACAATAGAAATTCTCAAGAAAACTTGCCATAGCATGCTATGGCATGTTTAGTGTGCTACAGTGTGGTGGCATTGGAATTTTTCAACCTCGGGCGCACTATAATGCCCATGGCCAGTGCGCTCTAATGTGCTAGGAGTGTCCTTAGGTGTGCTGCACCAACCCTACTCACTCAAAATCATTCCAAGGACCTTAAAGACCAAAAGGGATGCTCTCAAATTAAGGCTCTCCCTGTTAGTAGGAACTAGCTCTTGATAGTTCTCAATATTGAAGACGAGAAAACCCCTCTTTAATGGACCATTTAGCTGTTTTAGTATGTTGTCCTTGATCCTTGATTTTGTAGGTCTCGTGGCTACCCCTACAAGTAGTGGTTATCTTCCATTGTAGGATAGTCTCCCCAGGTAGTGTGAACAGCTTGCCCACGACCAAGTCCTCAATAATTATGAACTATTGAGCCATTTCATCATCTACTATTAACAACTAAAATATCTTCAACTTGTCAACATTAATCATTAAACATATATGCATACACGCTGGTAGGTCTAGTTGACAAGCATGTCCTCGATTTTATGTGGAAAAGGCCATATGAATTGGTTTAAGACTTCCACCCCCGCCTTTTATTCGCTCCTTCCCTAAGTGCAACCAGACAAGATGCCTAACTTGGAAATCCCATTGTATGTGGTGCTAGTCATGCTACTTGCTGTAATTCTATTGTGACTTAATTAATTCCCTCTCCATTCTTGGGGGCACTTGCCGAATTTGATCAACAAACCTATAGGCTTTAATGACATTGAGCTTACTTTTGTCATTTCGTGATGTCACACTTTTTAATAACTCTATATTGAATGGGGTTTGAGGTAAGAAACCCAAGTATACCTTGATTGAAGCTTTGTTGGTTAAGCCATTGGTGTTGTAATTGATTTCAAACTGTGGGAATGATATATTGTCATTCCAAGTCTTTGGATGGCATAGATTATACTCCGCAATAGGTGAACTAGGATTTAGTTGACCATCTCCACCTGTCTTTCTATTTAAGGATAGAACATCCTACTACATTTGAACTTGGTATCCATTAACTCCCATGGAGTACATCAGACTTTGCTAAGAAATCTATTGTCTTGATCAAATATAATGAAGCTAGGAAGGCTGAAGGACTTTTGAACATGATCAAAGAATAGCATGGCTACTTTGGCTCCTATGATGGTCTTCTTGCACAAAATCAAAACCACCATCTTAGAGAATCTATCTACAAGATAGTCAAGGACATGTCAGGTCTTGGGTAGGCCTCGTAAGAAGTCCATTGATATGCTCTCCCATGGATGAGATAGTACTAGTAAAGGTGTGTACAAGCCCACTTTTTGGTTGCCAGGCTTAGACACACTACACATTTCGCAACTTGGAACATATCAGGCTACATCCTCCTGCATCTCGAGCCCATACGCACATCACTGTAAATTTAATAACGTTTTATTTGTCCTAAAATGTCCAGCCACTTTGGAGGTATATGCTTCTTGAACTCGCTACAATCTATCTTTGACTTGTGGTACACATAACTAATCATTTTGTATAGCAACCCCTGCCTCATACTAAATTTCGAAGGTGCTTCCTTTTTTGCCTCCCTTAACTTATCACAAAATACAAGATCCTCCTCATACTATGTGGCATATTCTTCATGATTGACTAGTTCAACACTTATCATAATGATGAGACATATGGTTGTAACGAGTAGTCTAGACAATATGTTTGCTAATGTGTTATGCATATCAAATATCAGTTGAACTACTACAAATAGGTCATCTATTTCATATGTCAAGCTTGCTGTAATTTGGATTAGATTTACAATATTGGTGTGGCCAAGGACCAATGTGCACAATGGTTTCCTTACCCAATAGGTAGAATGCTAGTGTTTCATTGCTTGGTGTAGGGCTAGTAGTTCCTTGTAGGTTGGGTAATTTTTTTAAGCCCCCTGAGACAGCTTAGAATTGTATGCCATTGGTTGCTATCTTGTATAAGCACAGCCCCTATTGCATACCCCAATGCATTAGCTTCAATCTTGAAAGACTTCTACAAATTTCCTCTTTCATTAGGTTGATTACCTTTTCTTATTCCTAATTCCATTGAAAGGGCTCATTGGATTTTGTTAAAGCATTTAGTGATAGGGCAAGAACTGAAAAATCCTTATTAACCTTTGGAGGTGTTTGTGTTAGTCTCAAGATTTTATATTGATTTTGCTAGTAATAAAACAAATTAAAATTATTA